GTGACACAATTAATTCTTATATTAATTTCATTATAAAATTGTGAAGAATACTTACATTTTTTTTTTTTTTCTTCTATAAATACATTTTTATATTTGTGTTCGTACACATTAGTATGTACATTTTTTTTTATTCTAGATGAGACAAAATAATGCCAAAAAAAATAAATATATATATGGTTTCAGCGTACATAAACTTTTCCGATAGATATAGATGAGTTGTTTAAATCCCCACGATTGAATCTAAATAAATACGTGTAAGCACATTTGTAAATCTTTCTAAAGAAATTCCTCTTTGTCACGACTCCGACAAGCATTTAGTTTGTTTTTTCTTTTTTGTTTCATTTTTTCTTTTTTTTTTAAATTCGTCTCGTTCGTTTATTCGAGAATCGATCTAGATCAGGTGGATTTTACAATTGGCTTGTTACAAGCTCTTTTTAATCCTTTCATCGTTAAATTCTCTCTATCTCTCTCTCTCTCTTTTGTATTTTTTTTTCTTCTTCTTCTTTTGATTTCCGATAGATTTTAGACTTTTTTCCCCTTCTATTTTTACCAGATATTTATTTTCTTCTTGTTTTAGTTTCCTTTTCTATTTTTTTTTTAATGTTTTATGAAGACCATAATTTGAAACGAAAAATGGACCTTAAATAAATATCTCGTGTTGTCTATTATACTGGTGTAATTTTTGTTCTTTTGAGATTTTGTTATGTTTATTTGTCTTAATTTTTCAAAAATTATAAATGCAGCTGTTAATATTTGATTTTGTCTTTAAATATTATTCTAATAGTTTATTACTAAATCTACAATTTCACGTGACAATAATATTAATTTAACGGGTCGCAACAATAAGACATCCAATTTTTGCGACGACAAAAATCATAATATACAGTGTTGCAGTAATAAAATGCAACGAATTTATTCACGAGTGAATACGTACAACTATAAGTAGTAAAAATATAATACTAGTCAGGCAGATAGTAATAAAGAAAAAATTAAATATCAAGATTTTGTTGAATAAAATTTATTTTTTCTCTTGCAACACACACACACACACACACATATATATTATAATTTAATTATTTTCATTGTTTCTATTTAATCTTAAATATTACAATTCACTTGTGTGTGTACGCGCGTGTCTAAACCAACTATAAGTAGTAGAAGTACGGTATTAGTCAGACATCTCGTAGGTAAAAGGGAAAAAAATCAATGATAAGACTTTTACGAATGAAAAGTTTTAGTCTTTCTCACTTAATGCGTTTGTAATTCCTCTATTTCGATCGTCTCTATTTAATATGTAACACGAGAAATGCTTTAGAGAATGTGATATTCTATATTCAACAAAATAAGATAGTAAATACGAGAGAAAGAGAGAGAGAGAGAGCTAACGTTACATTTAACAACACACGTATTTACAACACAGGTATATATGCACCACGAGTAAACCAATCCTCCTTTTCATCGTTTTTGCTTCTTCCAAGAGAAACGTCGGATGTTTTACTACTACATATATCTAATATACTTGTATATACATATATATATGTATATGTAACGAAACGTATAATGAAGATACTAATGAGAAACGAAGGAATATATCTACGGAAACATGCATTTATACTGCTAACAATATTTTTTCCTAAAATCATTCTTAATCAAAATTTATAAAATACATTTCTATATCGATTCGTCTTATTTTTTTTTTCTTTTCTTTTTTCTATTTATTCATATTATTTATTAACTTTTGTTTCTGTCTTTCTGCTTCAGGTTCCTTCCAAGCTCTGATACAATATGCAGACATGGTTGCAGCGCAGACTGCTAAATTCGTAAGTATCCAATCGATTTTTCCATTATTCTTCTTTCTCTCTTAATGTTTCTTACTTTCTTTCTTTTTTTTTTTTTTTTTTTTTTTACTATTAATAATTTTATTATTAAAGAACAAAATTCCAATGATGTTTAATCTACTTTTCTAATTAATTAAAACCCTATCATCATCATCATTATCTATGAATGATATAATAACATACGATATAAAAATAAAAATCCATGTGAAATCTCTTGTAAATTCTCACCCCCTCTTCCTCTTCCTCTCTCTCTCTCTCTCTCTCTCTCTCTCTCTTCCCCTTACTCTTCCATAGGGACTTAACAAAGAAACCTTTGGGAAGCGATCAAAGCGAAAATTAATTCACTCGATGTGCGTTTTGCCACGACCATTGTACTTCATCCTATCATTCCCTTCTCTTCTTCCTCCCCCTGTCCCCTGCCCCCCTGCCCCTCCACCCCCCATGGTTCTCGTAGTCGTCTGTTATCTCTCTCTTTCACTCTCTATTAGCAGGGAAACTAAATTCCTATCGTATTGGTGTATTTATGTATTTGTGTGTGAATGTGATTGTGTGTGTGTGTGTGTGTGTGTGTCGTCTCCGGTTTAGTTATTACGGTACTAGTAGTAAAGGCATGAAATGGAGGTCTACGGACGGTCGATTCCAAGAGTTAATCTACTTTGCTCGCGAACCTAACTTTGTACTGTAGGAAAAGTATTCGGTTTTCCCGGTCACCGGAACCCAGAAGCAGGGAGGAGAGAAGCACGCTCGCAAATCCGCGTACGACGTTCAAAGAGAAAATTATTAACTTCGGTTACGTTTCATCGGGATATATATATATATGTGTGTGTTAGTGTATTGCATATATATATATATATATGTATATGTATATATATATATATAGAAAGGTTTTACAGTAGAAAGGATACGAAGGAACGTTACGTTTCGATGTATAAAGTTAATTTAAAAGTAGACTTCGCGCTTATATAAAGCAATGTGTAATAATACTTAAGATTCTTGTTGTAGTCCAATTATAACTTAATTAATTAATTAAAGCTCTTTAGTCGCTGGGATATTTATGATTCGAACGAAAAGTCTAATGTTACCGAGAAAACATTCTCCATCTTTATATCTTTCTCTTTCTATATATATATATATATATGTATATGTATATAAATATATATCATAAGTCTTTAGGGTGACGTTTAAATGAATTTCCTTTTTATGGTTTTAAATTCAACTCTAATTTAAACAACATCCGATTAAATGTTGATATAATGATATAATGATTGACGTAATGAGCAATAAAAACTCGGTCCAAACATTTAATATAATATATATATATGTGTGTGTGTGTATATCTCTCTGTGTTTATTTAATATCATTAACACGACAAATATAAGAGAAATAATTTTGTTTTTCTCAATGACGACGACGACGATGACGATTAACGAATTCGTCTAACGAATAATTAAAAAAAAAAGAAATAAGAATAATACTAATGAGGTAATTAAATCTAATAAGGATTTAAATTAGAAAAAATTAAAATTTGACGATGGGGTTCGGAGTATAACAATAACTAAATATTAAATCGTACAATTCGTTATTATTCCCCTTATTGAATAGATTAGAAAAGAATAGAAGAAAAATAAACTGGAGAGAAAGAGAGAGAGAATGCTTTTTGTTGAGTTTAAAATAAAAAAAAGAAATGTGTCGACGTGTTTGTGTTAATCGTTCGAGGAACAGTGTTCTCTGAGTACGACAGATAAATAGAACCACTGGGATTGTTTCGAACCTAGGAACCTAGGGTTGTAACAGTATTAGTAATAGCATTGATGGTAGCGATTATGGTAGTAGTGATAGTTAATACTGTTGGTAATAATAATAGTAATAGTAACAATAATAGTATTGGTGAGTGATGGTGATGGAAAGGGGTAGTTAGTGATCTTCGTAGAACTGATGGGGTGTTCATAATGATGGTGGTGGTTGGTATTAGTAATGATCGTGGTTGTGTTATGTTCATAGTAATGGTGTTTTAGTAAGAATGATGCTTTTGATGATGCTAGTAATAATAATCAAAGTAACATTTGTAATGAAATTTTTGTTCTCTATTTTCTATCAAGCTTTATACATACATACATACATACATACATACATACATACATACATATATACAGAATAAGAGAAGAAAAAAAAAGAAACAAAGGATATAAAAAGTAGAAAAGAATCTCGTAGCGAAGATAGGAGGGGGGAAAAAAGTAAAAGAATAAAAAAAGAAAAGGAGGAGAGGGGAGGGGAGGAGAGGAGAGGGTAGTCCGACAAAATTCAAAAATATTCCCTTTTATTACTTAAAACTCGATTGAATGCTAAGTTAGCTCTCTCTTCCTCATCCTCATCCTCGTCATGGTGGAATACGCAAGATAAATTGGATTAACTTTAACGACCAACGACGACAACGAGGAATAAAGGTACCACCATACCAGGTAACCTTCTGTCTCGTTCTTTTGCATCCTTCTTCCATTCCCATCACTCGCAAAAGGAGACTGTGATTTCCATTTAATCCTTCGTTTAACGTTCTCGTTCGTTTGACTTCATTCTTCGGGGTATGGCACACAATACAACAACCATGTGAAATCACTTTTGCAAAGAACTTTTTTTTCTCCCCCCACCCCACCCCTACCACCATAATGACACAAAAAATTCATTCGTGGAAAATATTAAATTTATAATGTTATAACATTTTGTAACCATAAGTTTATGCATATGTACCGTGTATGTATATGGTGTGACAAGAACATACACTCGATTAAAGTTACCCTGGCACGCTAATTATGTGCGAAATTCATTAACCCGGGTAAATAACAGAAGCCAAGTATGTACATTATACGTACCATGCGTGTGTTAATGTATATACTATACGTGATATTGTATATGTGTGGGTATTATGTGAATATGTATTATCGAGGACCACCATGCACGTGCGATTATGTATATTCGTACATAATATACTGTCTTGTAACAATGAACACATTGCTAGGAATCATGTATGCATGGGATAAACAAATAATCCCTTGTAGACACATTCTCTATCTCTCTCTCACTCTAACACCACTCACTCCTTTGTCCCTCCACCCACGTTCCTAGGTATTTAGAGTGTCGTATGGAAAATCGTTTACGTTAAAATCATTTTCTTTCTTTCTAATTAATTCGAATTTTGGATGATATCGTTGAGATAAATTGATGAATAACAATTGAGATCATCATTCAATTAATCAATATTTAAGAAATATATTATTGAATAATTTATAGAAAAGAGAAATTATTGAAAATATCGCGAGAAAAATTATACATGGGGAGAATAATAAACGTAACGTTTCAAAATAACTCGTAAAAATATATATATATATATATATAGATTGCATGGAAAGAAAAAAAATGTTTCCTTCATAGTTAAACAATATTATATTGTAATTGTGGTTGTATAACGAATCGATGATTATAATCATCGTTAATTATTTCAACGAATTATTCGGAAAATAAATGTACACCACCCATGTGTTGGATGATTTCGCGTCATCCGTCGGACCATCAGCAGCAACGCATATTATAAATCTGGATAACGCGTGGATTGGATCAACGGCCTTGATCATCGTACTACCAACCTACTACATCAACAGCAGCAACAGCAGCAGCAACGTTATATTCCATATTCAAAACCCCATCATAATGCTACTAGCCAAGCCAACAACCATTGGCTATAGTTGTTGGTGGTTACTGCTGTTAGTGATGGTGGTTCGTCGTCGTCATCGTGTTCCTTTCACCATTTTCTCTTCTATCATTTTTATCCCCATACACACGCACACACATACCTCTGCATCATATACAACACACGTATCTACAACATTTCGTTCTCTTTCACTCCGTCAAGCCTATCATAATTCTGTACGGATTTTACGTGATATCATCATCTCCTCTTCTTCTTCTTCCTCTTCGTCCTCCCCCTCCCCCTCCTCCTCCACCTCCTCCTCTTCCACTTCTTTCTCCTCTTTTCCTCTCATTCGAGCAATAACCAACGAACCAACGATGCGAACGATTTTAATGATCGACGAATAAAATATATCTAACGATAGTTTGGACACTTGCAGATATATTTGAGGAATAAAAAAAAAAAAAGAAAAATAGAAATATTACGTAAAGTTAAAGTACATAGGAGCAAAATTGGTTGGTTAAGGGCTATGATGAATTTGGATCCCACAAAGAT